CTATCCTTCAGCAAAGCTGGAGGAGGAAGGTATAACAGACATCTCAGGTGAGAGATTCAAGGGCCCTTTTAATGGTATTTGGCACTTTTCTCTCCAGTTTCATTTGCAAAAAACCTCTACTCCCCTTCCTAGTGAATTCTGCCAAATATCCTATCCAGCCCCTAGGGAAGGGAAAGAGAGAGAGTGTGTGTGTGTGTGTGGGGGGGGGGCAGTTGGTACTAGAAGGAGAGAGAAAGGGACAGTCCAATTCAGAGCTTTAAGCTGGAGAAATGCATTTAAAAATGCATTGACTCATAAAGGACCACCTAGTGAGAATACAGCAGGAAACTAAGCAGGACCAAGGTCCCCTCAGATGTTTGTTCCATAACACCCTACTCACAGAAGCTATAGTGAAAGTACAACAGCTTTGGAAATTACACGACCTCAACAAACGCCTACAGATTTTTATTGGCCCATAAGGCAGGGTATGGAAGAGAAAATGATTGTCTGTCTCTAAAAGGTGATGTTACTTTTCTGGATAAATGATGAAAACTCTCCACTAGGCATGTTTAGAAAAAAATAAGAGCTCCTGTGCTTGAAAATACGGGATAGATGTGTGACTGTTTAATGGCCTAATCGATTCTTCCCGGTTAAACCACCACTCTCTGGATCAGCAGTGGAGGGAATGCTGTTCACTTCTTTGGTGGGCTTATGGACTGAAGAGCATGAATGGTGGGTACACAGGAGAAAGGGGAATGTCACATACCTTTAGTTATTAGTCTGGGATGGGGTTGGAAGGGGAATTAACAGGTGCAGAATTGGAATTCTGAAAATAATTAAGGTACCATTTAGTAAATCCCCTCCCACATCATGGCTTGAAAAAAATGACGAGTGACCTGGAGGGATACACTTTTTCATGTGTATTTTGAATACTAAGTGATACAGTTACACGCACAGAAATGATTGTGCCCTGGGGTAGGTACAGCACTTTCTCAGCATTCCAAAAGCTCCTCTGTCTATTATTCATGTTTACAGATAACTAGGCTGATAACTGAAACACCTCGAACAGATAAGCATGACATCTTGCCTGAGCATTTTGTTTCTAAGTCTAAAATGTTTAAAAAGGCAGTGAAGTGTGTGTGTGTGTGTGTGTGTGTGTGTGTGTGTGTGTGTTGAAGAGGCTAACTGTATAAACAAGGCAAGAGAACAATACACAGCTAAACGCTATTGTTACAAGGAAAGGTATAGGTTAACCTAGGCTCAAATAACTTCCTTCTAACCCATCAGTAGCGCATTATCTAAGACTCTAAAGTGCTAAATTGGCCAGATAAGAGAGTGCTAAGATGTAAGATCCTCTGAACAATGAGGAAAGAAAACTGAAGTGAAAATTGCAATCTCCACCCACAAGAGACTTAAGTGAGATGAAGTGAAAAGATTTACAATGGAAGAAGAGAAAGAAAGTGTGAAGAGGATGATATTTAACAATAAGATAATACTGGAGACCTAGGAAGGAAAAACATGACTGGGGAGAGGGCTAGGGAAGCCAAAGTCATAAAGCTCCCCAGGGATCTGGGCCTGGGGGTTGGGAGAGCTTAGAAGAGCTTATCAGAGTCAGCAGCAAACCAAACCCTGAGTGGACAATTGGTGTCAAGAGAGCAGCAGCAGATGCTTGTTTATCTGGAAGAAGAATGGTGGAATGATAGTCACAGGAACATATCGTGACCTGCAGACAAGAGCCGTGTTTCATTGACAGCTGGACAAGAATGCACACAAACAGACACAGGGGAAACACAGTGGCTGTGTCCAAAAGCTGAGGGAGGGAGGGAAGGAGGGACAGAGACACACAAAGATGCTAAAAACATGTTTCTTATAGAAGCATCTGTGAGTAACCAGGACTGTCAACTGGGAGAAACAAAACATAAACAAAGAATGGAAACTAGTAATTCCCACCATGTGGTTAAAGGTGTGAGATCCGGAGCTAGACTTGCTTGGGTTCAGATCCTCTCTGTCACTTACCAGCTGTCACTTACCCTGGGCAAGTTAGGTATAACCTCTTTGGCCTTCAGTTTCCTCAACTGTAAAGTGGAAATAGTATTACCATCTCATGGAATTGTGAAGATTGAATGAGTTGATATGAATAAAAGAGATTAGAATATTGCCTGGTCCACAGGAAACATTTAAAATGTTAGCATCTCCTGTGATACCATGTGACCAGCTTCTGTGAGTGGCTCTGAGCTGTATAGAGTGCTTTTGGCTCTCTATAGGATGCTCTCTCATCCTTCCAGGCTATCCATAAGAAAAGTGTTTGATAGCTGAGTAATGTATTGGGTTGTCAGAAAAGTCATGACGTATTTTTTCTATGTGTTTCATCGCAAAAATGAGTCATGACTTTTCCGACAACCCAGTATATAGTGTTACCAGATCAAGATTACAGTTGTCCTCCTTCAGGGAAGTTTGTAGGGTGACTTAAATATGGGTTAAGCTGAGGACAGTGGTAATATTCCATGAGGTTTACAACTGCGTTGGACAAGTCACTCACTCCCACACATAGAACCTCAGTTTTTATCTGTAAAACGGGGGTATTATATATACAGTACATAAGGTTTCTGTGAGATCAACTGTGAAAGTACCTAGAACAATGGCTGGAGTACAGGTTTCAATAAAAGTTTGCTGAGTGTCAATCTGCCTGTGATGGTGGTGATGGGTGACGGTTTGACTCTCATCTAGGGAGGGAGACCCTAACGGTTCTCACAGCTGCTGGCAGAGAGGCCTTGGGTTGAGCTTCCCTTGTCAGAGGCTGGAAACACTGATCTTTTAGGTCCGGAGTAAATTGACAGTTCTCTTTTCCAGCTTTTCACAAATGCAAACAGAAGAAAAAAAGACAGCTTGAGTCTCTAAAATGGGTCAGTGGTGATGGGAGTGCATTTTTAATTCCCACTTATGGCTTTTCCTCTCTAAAGGAAGGTGCCTAAAGGAAAAGGAGAAAAAGGAAGCAGGTAGCAGTTTCCAGTAACACCTGATGGCTCCTGATGTGAATGTTGTAGGAAATTTGTGTCCTCCTCTTGTCCAGGACACAGGCTGGCTTTCTGGTGGGCATCCCGCTATGGCTCTGACCACCTGGCTGGGAAGCAGGTAAATGGTCTTTCTTACTGATTAGACCTCTCTGGACGAATATGGTTGAGGACATGCTCTCCCAAAGAGCCTCCTGGGAAGAGCATCTCTCCATAGTCCAGGCCCCTTAGTCCTGCAGGCCTCATTATTTAATAGGCTGTCTCCACTTTGCACACCCCAAGACCTACTTTCTCTGGAGCTCCAGAGAAAGAAAAGGCAAGAAACTGAACAGGTGGTGACTTTGTACTTTCTTCCCAAGAATTGTCAGGATTTTGTCACCACCAACAGCAGAAAACAAGCTACACATCTTTACCTCCATTCTTGGGGAAAACATTCCTTCAGGGGGAAGAGCCTGGAAGAACCAAGTACCCAAGGAGCTGAGCCCAGGGACAAGTCCCAGCCTGAGCCTTCTTCACAAACCCCTTCCTCCTCTTTCCCATCTGCTGTGCCAGGGCTAACCAGGAAGCCCCCAGAGCAGTTTCCAATATATGTCTTACAATGTCCAGCCTCCCTCCACAGCAATCATTTATTAGAAAGAGGTTTTATGATACAAATTTGATAATCTCCCATGCACACTGGCAGTGTTCTAATTGAAGTTGTAAACCCATAAAATTCAAGCCCTTTGTCTTCCTGAAGGCCACAAGGTTTAAAAAGATACCATTGTCCTCCCTAACACCCACTACATTGTCACCAGGGACTGATTAAACAGAGCCCTGAATCGAAACAGTGCGGATTTTGTCTAGGTCCTTTTCAGGCCTGACAATGCCCTTTCAGTTCCCAAGACAAAAGGAGGTTTAAGGATCGAGATTCTTCTAAGATAACCGCATCCATATGGAAGGCAAGGTGGCCAGCAGCTGAGACCCAAACACCCCACTCCCTTCCCCCTCTACCCTCTCTGTCTCCCATCCCCCCAAATCGCAGGTGATAACACCCAGCCTCTGACATCCTTCCTTCTCCTCCTCCTGGAACAAGAAAGCTGGGTCCCCGAACAGGCCCAATGCCTTCTCTTCATAGATCTCACCCAGCCCTTGTTCCCATCTCTGAATCTGATGCCCGAAATTGCTCTCCTCACGCTCATCTCCACTGCGTAGGAGGCCCTGCGGGTCTGGATACCCAGGGGGAAGAGCGTTTACCAAGAGGTGGAACACGACACCACCCCCCAGCCGTGTGCACTGGGACCGCGCATGAAATGAGACCCACGAGCATAGCCCACACCTATGTTGGGCCACTGGGGCTCTCCAAATAGGTCTTCCTTCAGCTGGCAGCCCTAAGGTGGGTCACTCCCCAACAACCACCCTTTGGTTTCTTCACCACGCCACCCCAGCCAGGTGTGGCGCCAAGAGGCAGGAAATTAACAGCTGCCAGGTGAGGCACTTGAAGACTTAACTGAGGGCTACAAATTTTGCTGCTCTTTGGGTCCCTGAGCCCTCGGCGGCTGCTCTCCGGGAACCCACGCACGCCTTGCAGCCAAGCCCGGGCTGCTCCGGTGGCAGTACGCTCGGCTCCCACCTGGCTAGCACGTCTCTCGAGAATCCTTACAGAGAAGCTCATGCCCTGTCGTGGCCGTGACCATGGCCGACTGGGTTGACTTTTGGTGTTTGAAACGCTAGCAGCTTCAGTAGCCCAGAGGGACCTCCGCTCCCCTTCGGAGCCAGAGCCACCTTCTGCTAACAGGGACCCCAGGGTTGCTTCTGCTTCCTCCCTCTCTACCCCACCCTCCATCCTCCTAAAGCCGTGTAGGACCTTCGACCCAGTTCCGGGTGGGCCATAACAGCTGGTCATGGAAAAGCACAGCTCCCACCTACGTTCCCAGCAGGCGCACAAGGGGACCCAACCCTACTACACATTTTATATTCTCGCACCACAAAGAGGAAAAATATTCTATTTCTTTTAAAATAAGTGGTTTCCTATACAAATAGCTATTTAAAAATATACAAATAAGGTTCAAGCAATAAAATCTAGCTCTGGGGCTGGCGGTCGAGGGAAGAGGAGAGGGGGATCTTGGCGAAAGTTCCCTGCGCAATGGCTGCTGAGAGCCTGGCAGGGGACCCCGGAGCCAAAGGACATTGGGCCCGCAGGGAGATGGAGCCCAGGGAGCACTCTGGTCTGATCCCAGCCCTGCTCCAGCCGCAGGGCGCACTACAAAGTGCGGGGTAGCCCCAGTGCCGGCGCCCCGCAGCTACCTCACCAGTTCCAAGAGACCAGGGCGGGGGGCGCTAAGTGCTGGTAGGCGGGGAAGAGACCCAGCGCCGAGCTGGGCCCGAAGGCAGCGTAGCCCGGCACAGGGCAGGCGGCGGCTGGGGGTACGCAACTTTTGTCCTGGGAGGCAGCCGTGCCCACTTCGCCGCTGCCGCCGCACGGCTGCCCATTGCGCACCAGCACCGGCACCACCACCCGGCGCAGCAGGCCAGGCGCAGCGCGCAGCTCGGCGGTGATTGCCAAGTCGCGCGACTCCGCAGCCTCCGGCGCGCGCGCGCGCTTCAGCTTGTAGCGGTGGTTCTGGAACCAGATTTTGACCTGTGTGGGCGTGAGACGCAGCAGGCGCGCCAGCTGCTCGCGCTCGGGCGCCGACAGGTAGCGCTGCTGCCGGAAGCGCCGCTCCAACTCCAGAGTCTGCGCCTTGGAGAACAGCACCCGCCGCTTCTTCCTCTTCTCGGCGTCCGAACCCGGAGATGCAGGCTGAGCAGGCGGCCGATGCGACGAGTCAGGCGGGCTGGTCTCTGGACTGCTCTCGTCCGAGGCTAGGGACGGCAAAGGAGACACGCCCAGGTGAGACACCGGCCCCTCTGCGCGCCGGCTGCTCCTCGCGCGCGGGCGCCGAGCCACCGGCGGGAGGGCGCCCCACTAGCCCGCGGCTTTGGGGATGAGGCCATTTCTTTCTCTGGGCCTACATCTGGACACCCACCTCTCCGAATTCAGTGACCACAACCCGAGACCGCGCTCCCAAAGAAACCCACCCCGGAGCCCTCTTAAGACAAGTCCGCAGTGGCCGCTATGCTGGCAGGCGAATTTACGGCAAGCTGGTTTACCAACAAGGGACACCTCCATGTCGACTGCACTACAGGTTGCCAAGGTTTCCAAAGCCCTAAATCCAGGACAGCTAAATTCACCAATGCTGCCCAATCCCACACAGAGGCCTGGAGAACATGGCCTTGTTTTCAGGCATTTAAGGGCCGTGTCTTAAATATTTAAACATCCTGACCCCTAGAAACAAAAACCCACGTCCCTGGCGTTAGTGCCAGGCGCTGGGATCTGCTCTAAGGATGTGTCGACTGGGGGACGCATGACATAGAGGTTTGAGGAGGACAGAGCCTTTGGTTTCAGCATTGAGGAAATCCAGCCCCGCAAGGGCCCGGTGCTTGGTTCTGCGCGCCCCCTCCACCCTCGCCTCCATCCTCCGCTCACTCACACGCGTAGTGACCGCGCTCGGATTCCAGCCAGGTGGCGCAGGGGCCTGGCCCGGGGGCTTGGAGCTCCGGCTCCCGCCTCCGCAGGTGCTGCGCGTCCTGCTCGGGTAAATCCAGAAGACTTCGCACGGTGAAGCTGAGGCGTCCAGAGGTGGCCATGGCCGAGGGGAAGGAGGCGGGGGCAGGGCAGGCTGGGAACCGAGGGGTGGACGGGGACGCCTCTCCTACTGGTGGGCGTGCGAGGCGCACGCCATGCTCTGGCTGCCGAGATATTAGCGCGCTTACAGCGGAATCCCAGTCTATATAAATAGCTCTTCCCACCCGGGATGCTCTAAAAGCCGCAGTCTGGGTCTCCAGGGTGTTAAGTACCTGAATAAGTGTGGACCAAAGCCCGGGCGAGCCCGGAAGGTGCCACCTCCGCCCCCCCTCTGCGCCCCGTTACCTCCCAGAGGCAGCAGGAAGCAGCCCTCGACATTAGCAATTCTGTCTGATTAGCCCAAAGTGGGGACAGATAATGGGGATTGTTACCAATGAATAACATCTTGGGTGGCGAGCGGTGGCCACCNCCCTCCCGTCCAGCCCCAGCTTCCTCCTCCTGGGCTGACGCGGGGCCTGGCTCTGCGGGAGCGCGGGGAAGGGTGAGGGCGGCATGAGTAGGTTTACGAGCGCCCAGGAATTTATTCCCTGTTTGCTTATTCCTCGAGCTTGTTTGCTGGCCTGTTCGTTTCCCGCAATTATCTGGAAAGTGATTTACAAGACGGCGTTAAACTGGAGCGCTCTCTTTCCCTTTTTGGTTGGGCCCTTCTAGGGACTCAGAGGCGAGAGATTCAGGCGGGCACATAGGCGTGGCCTGGCCCCGCCGGCATCTGCGCCAAGGGTTTCGAAGGTCGTTAGGAGCCTCTCCACACCCCAAATGTCCTCCACTTCAGGGCTGCTGGAGAAGGGCTGGCAGCATTCGGGGAGTCCCTGCTCTGCCTCCGTTTCCCCAGATCGGAAAAACGGAGGCGGAATCCGGTCAAGCAATTCAGGTTCAATGTGCCAGCCTTGTTGACCCAGCCCCGCCCGGCCTCTGCCTGTCGCGGGCTCGGGCCCAGTGGCTGCACTCCTTAGAACTGAGCCCAGGCACGCACGAGGACCCACCGGGCGCGGCGTTTCGCAGGGCGGCCTACGAGGGCTATGCGGCCTCATTGGCTTCGCTAAACCCTCTGGCGCCACTCATGCGCCCGGGTTCCGTGGCCTCAACATCAGGCCCGCTGCCTGGGATGTGGCCTCTGCCCAAGAGCAGCCTTCCAGCCGGGGTTCATCGCTCCGTCGCACCTGCCGGGCCTGGTCTGGTAATGGACCCATAGGGAGAATTAGGGCTGGGCCCGACGGGCAGAAAAGACGGCCTGCCTGTGGTTTCTCCGCGGATATCTTCTAGTTAGTTCCCACAGCCCAACCCCAGAAAGTGATCAATGTAAAAGGTGTAGGGAGCCGACCGATGTGGATACATTTTGATGGCCCATAGTTTCGACGTGGCCGCGCTGAAGTCTAGGGCTCAGCGAGCGTGCTTTCCGAGGCCTCTCCTCTGGCAGTCAGTAGTTTGGGGGTTTGGTTGCTAAAGTTAGCGAGGGGCGCGGCGCCTGGGAGGCTGGATCCACCTGAGCTGAACTGGGACCTGGCTCCCACGCGCAGTGGTCGCGGCTCCGCAGGACCTGGCGCAACCTCCCCAGCAGCCTCCCTGTCAAGCGTGCCCAAGGCGCCCCGGGCTGCGCAGCGCTCTGGGTGGTCGGGCGGGGGCAACCCCAATACAGGCCAACTGCTAGGCCGCGGACAAAGGGGAAATGGAGCTCGACGCCCCGGACCTGTTGGAAGCATTTGTTCCAGTCAAGATTTTGCATTTGTTCAGTCCGAAATAATGCGTGATTGACGCCTGCTCACAATGCGCTTTAGCGCGCCGGGATAAATCGGAGCTTGTCCCGTGTTGTCATGGTTTTCAATGGGGTTCAATGGGATTGGGAGCTCGATCGACTCTGCTGGCCGTCTCTCCGCGGCCCCGGCAATAGATTTATTAGTTATGTCTTTTTAAATAAGATTAAACTGAAATGATTTGGCTGTCCTCTCTGAGATGGGGAGAGGGAGGGAGCCATGGGTAGGCGGTGGGGATTGGGATGGGGGGTGGGGCGCTTGGTGGCGAAGATGGGGGAAACCCGGCACCCACCGCACCCTAGCACCTTAACTCCGACGCCCTAGAGGTTGGGCAGGTCACAGACTGGCCCAGGGCTTTGTGGACTTCTCTCTCGCTGGAGCCCCATGCCTGGCAACCTCTGCCAGCCAATCTCCTGAGACAGGTGGGAGGAGGGCACAGACCAAGGCTGTCCCAGGGAAGCATTAAGACAGACTCCCAAATTAAGGTCTTAACTTCCATGAAGTGTCAGGTAGAAGGAGCTCTGGCCTGGGAGTTGGATGGCATCCCAGCTCTGCCCCTAACTAGCTCTAATCACCTCATCAATTGAGACTCTTTTTTTCCCCTTCTTCTTCTTATCTGAAACAGAAGAGGAAGATTTGATGACTTCCAAGAACCCTCCCGGTTTTATGATTTCATATGTCTGGAATTTTTCTAAAGTCATCTTCATTAGCCTGCTTGTATTAGCCTACTGTTCTGGAACTCTCATCCCCAGGACCTGCATTCCACAATCTCCAGAATGTTCTAGGAGAAGATGTGCCATCTTTTGAGTTTCCCACGGACACTCCGCAAGAGTAGGGTGGGGGTAGATAACAATTTTGGAAAAAGAACCAAGTCAGGAGAAGCAAAAGAGGAATCTTTCCTGGAGTGACTGACCTCTCTTAGCCTTTTAATCTATTTAACATCCTAAGCCCACATTGACATATAGAAATAAGTAAATGGCACTCTTCAGATCTTAAGAGCTCTTCAGCATCAAATATTTGCTTTTACTCTTAGTATTTGGCTCCCAAAGAGGAGACATACCCCCCATTTAGTAGCTGTGCTCTGCGGAGGACCTGACTCTGAGATTAGCTCGAAATATTACTTCTAGCCTCACCCTCCCTTACCTGGCAACAGGGTTCTCCAGGCCCCAGTCTGTGCTTTGAATATCCCAGCGAAACTCTGTAACTCCTGATTCTAGAAAGTACTGCAACTTCCCTGCTTCATCATGGATTCCCACCTCTTTCATAGGTGTCTTTGCACTAGTCCAATCTTCCTCGGTGCTGGGGCTTTATCTAAGTTATCTCCAAGAGCCAGAACCTGAGGACTCTAGGAGATTGTTTCATATACACTGTGCCTTCTGAAGAAGTGGAGGGAAGGAGGCAAGCCAGAATTATTAGAGAAAGACACTTTCTTTAGGGCCTCTTCACATCAGATACACTCAAAGACAGGGGAGCAGAAACTGATTTTGATATTGGGTCAATAAAAAAGTCAAGATATTAAAATTTATTCACATTGGAAATATCTATATGAATTGCCTCCAATTTGTAAATGATTCTTAGAATCACAAGTAAATATCTAACAGAATAGTCTTTCCAGATTTTAAAATATTGTTCAGTGTTCTGGACACTTGAGCTTTTTTGTGGTGTAGCTCAATATAGCTTGGGAATATTATTACTTAAATAGATAAGAATTTGTTTCCCTGTAATTGAATGTAGTTCGTTTTAATCCCAGCCAGAGTTTTTCATCTTTAGGCATCTGTGCTGTAGTGACTATATTTAAGTAGTCTGAACTAATCACCCTTTCAAAAGTATTATCCGAGATGCTCATCATGCTGCTGCGTGCTTAAGAATTTAAGACTAGAAATTTTTGAAATACAACGGAAGTATCTTGATTTTGAAAAAAATGATTACATCTATATCTTGCATTCTGTTTTTAAATCCTTCCATTTTGGTTAAGTGTGTCACAAAATCCTGCAAATCTATACAGTATTGAAGAGAGGCAACATTGCAAATTCCCCTTGATAGATGGAGGGCCCTCAACTGCCAGGACATTTTTCTTTGCCTCGTAGCAACTGCTCTACCCCCTTTTTATCCGCATTCTGGTCAAAATAGCAAAAGGAAAATAAAAATGGGCTTTTGATACTTCCAAGAAGTGAATGATCTTGATCAGTCTTAGGATGGAAAGAAAAGGCAGCATTTAAAATCAGGCTTCTTTGCCTTTCCTTCTGAAAACTAGTTGCCATGAATAAGTAAACATTTCCCTTTTAATGGCTAATAATCAATGGCTTGGCGGTGGTCCAGGCCTGGCTGCAAATCTTTCTTAGTTGTACTGATGATATATGCACACGGGACAAGGACCAGCAATTACTTTCAGACTGGGAATTTAGTGCATCTTTAAAATAGGCTTTAGATTTTATTATTTAATGTCAAATGACAAGATTTGAAAGACCCACACCTGAAGTTCCTTAAAATATTGAATTTCCATGGACTTTTCGTTGTTGTTCTTGATCTCTAGGAGAAAAGTTATTCTCTCCTAATATGTTTATCTAGTTGTTTAGATATATATATGAAAAAAATATATAGGGGTAAAATGGTTCGACGAATTAAAATGGAAAATGTTCTTAATTAAATATCTATGGTCTCTATGTTCTAAATAACCAGCAAATAACTTTTAAAAATTAGTTTATTAAATATATCTGATTGTTCCTATGCCTTACAATGATATAATAGAGGTAACTGTGACAGCATGGAATGTAAGTTGTCAGACTAAAATAACAACACACCTCGGGGAGGCTACTAAATCTTACTTGTCCAGAGCTGAACTTCTTATTTTGGTCTAATCTTTTATTTTTAAGGTGCCCATTTCTATTCCTTTGCTTGATTGATATAAATATAATTTATATAACACAGGATCATTATTGATGTTTACACAATAAAAGTTCAGGCCCTAAGTCACACTTAAGGTCACATACAGATACTGACACAGTGGACTGAGCCCAGGAACACATTTGATGATACTTGCCCCAATACCTCACATGGGCCTGTCTACATTGCATGCTTATACCCAGCAGCCAGTTCAAGCCAGTTATTATTATTTTTTCTTAAATTACCCCAAACAAGGCCCCCCCTTTTTTAATACCTTTACTTTGTTTGATATTAACTTTGGAATTTTAAAAGGGTTGCATTATTAAAGTGAGATATTATTTCTGTCCTATTTGACAGCAATTTAAACACAAAACCAGTTATTATTCTGGAGAAGTATTTGTTAATATTTGGTGAAGACAAGGACCAGAAGCTCCCAGAGGGCTAAAGAAATCAACTATTCCATTTTCTTATTAGCAATGATGATAACCGTAGTAAGAAAATACCACATTATGTTTTATACATTTGAGAATGTTTGCAATATGCCCTCACACTTGTGATCATACCCTGAGTCAGTATAGATTAGATTACCTAGAAGAAGTGAAGCTTATGGAGAGACTTGAAGGCAGATC